CTCTCTCTCTCTCTCTCTCTCTCTCTCTCTCTCTCTCTCTCTCTGTTTCTCTGGAGGTGATGTCCACAAGAGGGAGGATGCTCACAGCCAGGGATTCAGGCATTTTTTCCAAAGAGAAGAAGGACCAGTGAGCTTCGGTGCCTGAGGTGGGCCACTGGGAGCCAGGAGGAGAATCCCCCACAATGTGGGGCAGAATGTCATTGAAGAGAAGCGACACTAAGGCCATGCCTGCAGAGGAGGAAACAAGTACCCAGCAAGTAGAGGGTAGAAGCTTGGGGGAGGCTATTAGCAGACATGATAGACTGGAAGCTTCTAGAAAGGATGAGCATCTAGGCCAGCTCCATTCAGACTCCACGCTGGTACATTGCTACTTTGTTGCTGTTTGAGGGTGGTGGTTTCCTTTGGGAATCTTGCTAGCTAGCTCAGGCTGGCTGGGAACTTAAGCCTCAGCCTCTGAGGGCTGGAATTACAGATGTGAGCCACTATGCTTAGCTCATCACTGAATTTTGTTTTTTAAGGGCCCTCTATATGTTGGACTGTTTGGCAAGTACTAGCCATGGTCCACTAGAGACAGGAAAATACTGATTTTTTTCCCCCTTACTAGGTTTTTCATCATTAAAAATATATATAATATACTAGGAGGCTGAGGGTGAGCTCAGTCGGCAGAGTGCTTGTCTAGCATGCTTAAAGATCCCTGGCACTGTACAAACCTGGGCAGGGTGGCACACGCCTGTAACCTCAGCACTTAGAAAGGGAAGTGGAGAGGATTATAAATTCAAGGTCATCCAGGACTGTGTGGAAACTTTGAGGCTAGCCTGGGCTAATGAAACCTTGTCTCAAAAACCACACACACACACACACACACACACACACACACACACACATTCAGATACACACTGGAAATTTGGACTAAAAAAAAAAGAAGAAAAATACTCCACAGACAAAAACTGCATCATTTTGTTATGTTCTTTCTAGATTTGCTGTGCATATTTTTATACTGTTTACATGATCTCTCTCCTATCAAGAGAATACAGCAATTCATTCTCTTTGATATTCATGTGATTTCCAGTTTTTTAGAGTAAGACTTCCATTGCTTCACATCTTTGTGTATGATTGAGTCTTTAATAATCTGTTTCCTTTTAGAAATTCCTAACAGTTTTCATGAATTTCTGTTCTTTGTTCTGAGTCTCCTCAGGTTTGAACGTGTGTGTGTGTGTGTGTGTGTGTGTGTGTGTGTGTGTGTCTTAATCCATCGCTAATTTCCCCTCAACTTTTCTCATGAATTTCATAACGGAGCTGAAAAGGGCCCGTTCTTTGGAAGGCACAAACTACCAAAGCCTCCCTCAAGAAGCTGACAAGAAAAGCCCTGCACCGACTACACAAAATGAATTCAAAACCGAAACCCCTCCGACAAAGGAAACCCCAGATCCTAATGGCTTTGCTGAAAATTCTAATACCGAGTGATTTAAGGAAGAAATAATACCAATTCTACACAAACTTTTACAGAAAATAGAAGAGGCGGAAACGCTTCTCAATCATTTTAGAGGCCTAACATTCCCCCCTCCCCATCAAAAGCAGACAAAGACATTCCTTAAAGAAAGAAAGCCTAAAATTCCTCATTAGTACAGATGCAAAAAGCCTCAAAAAAAAAAAAAAAAAAAAGCTATCAAAGCAGTGCTTGTAAGGATCCCCCAGAACCGCCACACTGGGAGCCGCTGCCCGCTGCCGCGGGAGGCCGCCAGCCTGTGTGTGTGTGTGGGGGGGGGCGCGAGCGGACACACTGTGGTGTGTCAGAACAATGGAACACGCCAGGCAGGCAGAAGAAACTGGACACACAAAGGCCACGAGTCCACACAGAGGCTCACAGTGCATGAAAGTGGAACCCCAGGAGGCCTCCAAATGCATGATTGCCTCTAAGTGACAGTCTAGAAAAGACAACATCATGGAAACAGAAAGCAGACGTTGGCTGAGGTCAGGGAGAAAGAGGCTGCAGCCCCAAAGCACAGGGGACTGGATTTTCTTGGAGTCGGCGTCTCAGGTGTCCCAGGTTGGCCTCAAATTTGCTATGTAGTCAAGGATCACCTTGAACTTCTGATCCCTCTCCTTCTCAAATGCTTGGATTACAGGTGTGCACCACCACACCCAGTTTATATAGTGTTGGGGTCAAACCCAGGGACTTTGTGCAGGCTAGGCAAGACCTGAGTGGCCCTGGACCTTTTGAGACAATAGAATAGTTCTGAGTCTTGAATGTGGTCTTACTAGAACTGAGTGGCCCTGAACCTTTTGAGACAGTAGAATAGTTCTGAGTCTTGAATGTGGTCTTACTAGCATGTGGTCACATGCCTGTGTGTGAAACTTCATAGAACTCTATATCCCCAAACTCATGTTCATTATATGTAAATGATGTGCAAATATATGTAAACAACACCTCACTTAATTGTGTTTAAGTAATAATTCAATGTTTAGAAAGAATTCAAAGGTTATCTATACTTTCACTTATGATATTCTGGAAAAGGCAAAGTTGAGGGACGTAAACTGGACTGGGGTTGTAAGGGCTGAGGCCTGAGGAAGGGTTTAGGGAACATGTGAGAAAGGACACAGTGACATTTAGAAGTAAGGGAAATGTGTCTTGTTTCGTTTTGTTTAGACAGTGACAGTGTGTTTAGTCCTGGCTGTCCTGAAACTTGCTACATAGACCAGGCTGACCGGAAACTCACAGAGATGCCCCTGCCTCTGCCTCTTGAATGCCGGGATTAAAGGTGTGCGCCACCATAGCTGTCTAATATTCAACTTCCTGATAGCAGTGGTGGATGCAGGACTATCCATGTTCTCCAGGACTGTGCCTAAGAAATGAACTGAATGAACATAAAAACCTCAATAGACTTGACTGTCAATGTCTTTATGCCGAGGATTGCCCACGCATGCTCTGCCTATCACATGTACACATTTCTCAAGGTATTGGTGCATTTCAAAGTATTGTCAAATGCCTTGTTTTCCCATCTCTAAGACAGGAAACTGGCTCTTATATCAATATCCTTAGTAGAGAAGAGTGTGGCTTTGAGGTTTGGTGATGTGGAGTTCAAAGTCTGTCTCCACTACAGCCCAGATATGTGACCCATGTGACTCTGGGCTGTTAGCAGAAGCGTCTGTCAGGTATCTGTCACTGTGACAAAGTATCTGGATGAGCAGGAAGACTTCTTCTCCTTCTTCTTCTTCTTCTTCTTCTTCTTCTTCTTCTTCTTCTTCTTCTTCTTCTTCTTCTTCTTCTTCTT